ACCTCACAATGTTTCGTTCACTTCTTCCCTATTAAGCTCATAGTGGGAGTCCAGCTGTGAGAACTGAGTTTAGTAATCTCTCACAGAAAATATTCTGATCTAATCAAGATGGAGATAGGTTTTCTTCATTTTAATAGAAGTTCCACAGAATGCTCATGCAAAAGTATGAGACAGAGTCAAAAACAGCTTTTAAAACAAGACATACTAGTCCGGGTTATCAATTTCAGAATCAAATCAGGGACCTTCATCATCACAACTCTTTTATCCTCTCTTGAGTCAGGGTAGGATCACATCATCAAAACTGTTAGCAAGAGCCAGGTGATCTGATGAAATCACTTATTTGAAAAGACAAGTATTGGCATTTTTTTATTTGAATACGATTGTTTCCTAACAACAATTCTAAATATTTGAATACTGTTGGGTTTCTACTGCATCTAAAAGATGCCATATGGGCTACATTTTCCTCTTTTCAAACAAATTCTTGAGATACAATGACTAATGTTATTGCTATGATATTAAATACAGTACTAGCCTTTATGACCATTACTTACAGGAGTTGATCTCTTCTTCACCAATCATATTCTTTATTCACCAAAGACTGAATCAGTTTTGGAAGGATATGATTTTGTTTAAACTCATGAAACATTGAGCTATAAGCTGACTGTTGAAAGGCAGAACATTGTGCAAGCTAATAAAAAAACTGGTCCTGGTAGATTCAGAAGGAATGAAGCAGTGGGGGTTTTGTGTGTTCAGAATATTCAGAAATGTTTTTGAGACCTTTTTGCTTTTCATGTATTGACCCTGAAAAGAATTTTTTTTTTAAAGTGTTATTGAATAATGCATTGCAGTCTCTAGGTCCTTTTTGCTCAACTGCCGCCTTCCTCACTGTGGAAAAGTCCCTCAAACTGAAAATGTTTTTTTCATTAAATGCTCACACATTCTACTTTGGCCATGCAATATCTTACTTTCTTAGATTTCCTCTCTATCTAGCTTTCTGTCAGATCAGAGACTCTGTAAATTAACATTGGTTGGTACTTGTAAACACAGTATAATTTCATCCTTTCCTACTACAAACTTGATATTAAAGACCACAGTATCCTTTCTACTATCAATTTAACTTGCAGGCTTCTTTTAGCCAGAGCCTGAAGAGATGAGCCAGTTTGGCCTTGTTGGTTTCAAGGATGACTCCACAGAGTTTTCTTTTTCCTCTGAATTCACTAAAGATATTAATTTTCAGTGTGGCTCCTTTAGATCAAACCAAGGCTCTTATATTTTTATAATTTTAAAAATAATTGTTGAATTTGAAATAGCTAAACAAATAATACAGTTGCCAGACAAAACATTGTTAAAATAAAATTGTAGACATCCAAGGAACATCTCTTTCTGACCATTTGCAGGATAGTCTTGGTAGTTCATGAGCTCATTTTAGACAAGAATATCTATAATCTATATTTTTTAGCCTTAATTTAGGAAAGGATTTGAATGTATTTTTAAAAACTTTTTAAAAGTTAAGATATTTTCTTCAAGTGTCAGTGGCTATATTCAAATTATGGGAATCCAACAACATTTCACAGTTCCTGCATTCAAGTGCATGCTTCAGGTGCAGACTTCCTCCCTTTTTTTCTTAGTGTGGCTCAGTATTTGTTCCTAGTCTGTGTCAACCATCACCACCCTGCCACCACAACTGTATTTGCTACTTGCAAATGCTCTGTCCAGCCTTAATGAACCAAAATATTGTTCAACCTTGGTGATAAAACTGAAGGAATATCAGATGAGAAAAATAACAAAAATGTCTACTTTATCTGTAGTGTTGTACACAAGAATTCCTTAGTGACAGCATAGGAGACAAACACAAAAAAATAGTATTTCAATGTAGTTTTCCAGTATCTATTGCAAATGGACTGCTTCCTATTTTTGTTCAATACATATGATGAACCCTGAAATTAATGTTTCTAATACTAGAAAATACTGCCTGTAATAAACAAGAAATGTTTTAGAATTATTGTTATTTACAGGTTTTTGCTCATAAAATCCTTTTTGAGTGGCTGTAAACTTAGGACTGGTGATACCATATCTGGAGTGCTATGTCCAATTATGGACACACCTGTACAAGAAGGATATGGATGTACAGGAGCAAATACAGTGAAAGGATATGGTGGTGAGGAAGGGACTGGAGCATCTGTCATATGAGGAGAGGCTGACAGAGTTGAGATTGTTCAGCATAGAGAATAGTAGACTTGAGGATCTTATCCATGTGTAGAAATACCCAATGGGGGGAGTAAAGAAGATGAAGCCACACACTGCTCAGTGGTGCAGAGTGACAGGATAGAAGACAATGGGTGCCAACTGAGATACAAGAAATTCCTTAACATGGAATTTTTCTTCACTTGAGAAAAGACTTTTTCACTGTGAGGGTTGTCAAATGCTGGACTAGTTGCTCAGGGAGGTGGTGAAGCATTCATTGTTGGAGATACTCAAACCCAACTGGACGTGTTCCTGAGCTGACCATGCTTGCAACTGGGGTTCTGAGCTGTGAAACTGGACACTTAAGTGAATAGTATTTTTGGTACAGATAGGAATGATTTTGTCTATTTGAATGAAGAAGAAATATACTCTGTAATTGCATGGGAAATGTACATGGTTTCCAAGCTGAATGTAGATTGAGCCCACACTTATTTAAAGCTGCTGTGTGGGAATGTTGAATTACTGACATATCTTGATGTCTGACTTTTCATTATATGACTGAGAAAAGTGAGGTTGTATTGTAATTTTATCAGCCTAAGAAATGAGTCTAATCATTCTCCAGAAGAAAACAGTGAGAGTTATTTTTGCAGTAAAAAGAGAATCTCTAAAATGGTTATATAATATGAAAACAAAAGGTAGGAGCTCAGATAGAAATCGGCAAAAATGATTTAGTACAGGTTTCCCAAACATTGCTCCATACACTAAGACACTGTGGTGATACATGAAGAATGGGATTGTTATTTGCCTAGTTATTTGCATGAAAACTCGAACTTTCCTTATGAGGAATTCCATTAGCTATCCTAGAGAAGCTGTGAGATTTTTTTTCTTGTGCAAGGTGCAAAGGGACCAATTCATGCTGGGATTTCGTTCTTGGAAAGTTAATGTTTGGCTTGACATTGTTGATAGATTGTTTTCAGGAAATTTGCTATCTTCCATGATGTGTATTAAAAGTTTGGTTCAAGACACTTAGCCAAGACTCCTTTTTGCACTTTAGCAATAAAGAGGTGAAGGAAGAAGTATAATAATGACAATAATCATCTTGACAGTCATCACTGAGGAGAGAGCATTATATAGTCTCATTTAATTTATAGTCAGAGCTATGATAGTATTTAACAATCTCTGTCCCCTGAGAAGTCAAATATTCCACTGTCGGAAAGTTGGCAGCAGCCACCCTTTCCCCTTTCCCACCACCTCTCCTGCAAATACTGTGAAGGGTAATACAGTAATGCCACCTACTACCCCAAATCTTCGGTGAAGTTGAAAGGATGTATCTTTCTGTGTCTGTCATGGCAACCTTTGCCAGGCAAACACACAGGGCATATTTTAGAACTGTCCCCTTGGCACAGCACCTGAAGGATGACAGAGACAGTATTGTCATGCAGTAAAATGTGTTTCTGTAAAAATCCAGCTTTTAACTTCCTTTCTTATGTGCTGAATCAAGTTCATGGATTAAGATACATGTGATTAAAAACAGTTTATAAAGCCTGGATTTGGCTAGCGTGAAATTATAACAAGGTAATGTCCCAGTAAGTATCACCGTGGTGCATTTTTGCTTCCACATTTTGAGTTCTTTGTCATGATGAGTGTTGGCCCCTGCTGGAAGTGAACTGTTGAGCTCAAAATACAATATTTTTGTAAATTATTCGATGTAAATCTGAGACTATTGAAAATAGTAATAGTATTGCAGCAACCTGAGATAATACCAGGTCCTGCAGGACCTTGTACCTGAGTCCTTGTGCCTGAGTGCTTGGCTTTACCTTTTCCCAATCTAGACATCTTAGCAGTGAGGTCAAGTAACCCGGTCACCTGAATAGGTCCCCTCACACCTAGGAGAATACCACTAAATTTGTACTAATCTGCATGACAAGTCTTGTGATGTAGTCTGTACAAAGTATAGATGCCTTTGTTAGGGTGAGTATTTCATAGCGTAAGCTTCCAAAGAATTGGTGAGCGCAGACCTGAAACGATCTATTTCTGTATTTTCCTTCACATATTACCGCATGTGGACAGCTGTTGTTATGGGTGTGTGGTCAATGTGCTCTGCAAATAAGTCATTTAGGTCATACTGAGCCATATGGGGCAAAAGAATCCATAACATGGATATATTGCAACTAGGGTAAACTGTGCTGCTCTGACATGCTCAACAAGTCAGGCACAAAATTTGGCCAAAACACAGGGAAAAAACTGCTTCGTATCTTCTGAAAAAAAAAAAAAAAAAAAAATCCTGCCTTATTCTTTGTAAGCGTTTGGATTCTTTCAGTGCTTTCCCATCAGCTAAGTGAAGAACTCATTTGCATTCTCGCCATTCATAGTTTGATCCATCAGGGTATGTTTCAGTCAGCAAATTTAGCATCTAGCAAAAATGTGCTATGGTTAACAAAACATGAGTTACTTGAATATGTAAAAGAGAAAGTATTGCACGTATGCAATTGCACTTTAGTGATCTTTATTTGCAGTGTGTGATGGAAATTAATTTTGGGGGAAATGTATCACAGTTGCTGATAGCTAGCTGATTTATGTATATGTTGCCTTGCCAATGCAGCATTAAGCTGTAAAGAGAGTGTTTCTTTGGTCAGTATTTCACTTTCACAAAGGCTAACAGTATCCTCTGTTAGCCCGTTAGCAGGATTATAAAACTTCAAACACACATGGTAATAAATCTCCTCTAATTACTAAGTTGTAAAAAGCAGTTTACTGATAATTTCAGCATAGTTGCTCACTCACAGATTTAAGAATCCATCCTTCTTTGTAAATAGAGCAGAGATTGCCTAAGGCTGGGTCCTCCTGCAGAGGGAGAGGTTGTCCAAGTGAAATGGCCTGATGGAAAACTGTATGGTGCGAAGTATGTGGGAGCAAACACAGTTACCATGTATAAGGTGAGTGTCTGGTTTGTTTTTCAGATGTCTTTATTGCAAATTGCTCATTCGGCTTTAGCATTGGAGTGGCCAACTGCATCTTCAAAGCTGCAGAAGCCTGGAGTGTGGACTTTTATTGTAACTGTTAATGCATTTAAACTAATACATAAAGCTGTCTAAACCATTAACAAGTGCTTTGCACTCTTTAGGAGCTGAGGTTTCACCTGTTCTTATAAAATCAAGAAAACGCCTTATTTAATAAGAAGTCAGGTGAACAGGTGGAACATTAAGATTGAAAGTTAACATTTGTTATTTTCTCCTGATTATTTACTTCTATTTGATGTCAGGTAATTATACAATTAATGACATAAAACTAAGTGTTGGTGTGTGACTACAGTAAACCTTGGGTATTTCACAGAAGGAAGGAAGGGAGGACAGTAAAAAGAAGAGCATAAATAGCCCCACTTTCATTTGTCTGAGGCAGTTATGAATTAGTTAACACATAATCTAAGGAGCGTTTTATCCTCAGCAAAGGGAAAAGGGAACTGAACACTGAAAGCAAGGCTGAAAAGCTGACTTCTGATTTCAGAGACACAATAACCGTTTTTTTATGTGCTTGCCTTTGAGAAAAATCAGTCAGCATCTTTGAGTACTCAAGTGAATGGTAGAAACTGCAATAAAACAATCTCAATAATAATAGAGCTTCTGAAAGAATGAGAATCTAGGTACATTTCATTTATATATATATATATATAATAATTTTCACTTATGTAACTCTTTTCATCTGAGGGCCTCACATTACACTACAAAAATGGCAAATTTACCATTATACCTGTAGATAAATTAAGGCACAGGGAGGCTAAATGATTTGCTGCATTGACCTTCTCACTTTGCCAATGACTTGCAATTGAACTCAAGTCCTCAAATGTCTGATCCCTTGAGCTAGTCTCTAAATCTTACCTCTTCCCTTATATTTAGCAGCTGTATTATGTTGTGAAGGTGAAAAGTTCTTTATAAAATATAAAGATTATTGTTCTGTAGTAACATTAATCTTCAAATCATTTAATCTTCTGAACAGCTGGTCTTCTGAGGAATACTGTAAGGTATATTAGATGAATGTTTTTATCTTTCATATTTGAAGGAATCTGACATAGTCAAAACACACTTCTTTGTCTTATTTCACACCTGTTGGGTAACATGATGATGCCAGTTTAGTTTAATGGAAATGGATTAGCATGGAGAGGTTCAGTAAAGTTTGGACTTCCTCAGCACAACAATCATGGGAGATTACTTAACTGCCTTGTGACAACCCCTATCATGGGGAAAATAGCAAAGATTAAAGTTTAGAGGGAGTCCAGACTGTACTGCATAGGATTTTGGAGACAAACAAGTATTTCAGTATATAGGATGGGAGCAGAGGCTGCCACAACATGGCCACAGGTTACAAAAAGTCTATGACATGGAGAGTGCAAGGCTAACTTCAAGACACATTAGTAGTTCTTCCTCTGTTCTTTCTACACAGCCTGTCTGAAAGGTCCCAGGACCCATGCATACGCATGCTCCATTCTTATTCTGGGTTGTGAGATTTATGTTGCACTTCTTACCAAGTCTTTTGTGTGATCTCTTAGATGGTACAACAAAATGGGAGACTAAGAAGGACTCTCTGAAACTAGTATTATGATCTAATAAGGCATATCTGATCTATTTGGATAAATCTGTGAATTTTCCTGACGTCCACGAGACATTTGTACCAAATGTGACAGTACTTGTGCATGCAGGAGCTATGACACAATGCACGAGAATTTGTGTCATCCAGTTTGACATTTGCCACTCAGTATCCTATACAATCCCTAAGCAGAGTTATACATGCCAAACAAAGCAGGTGTTCAAGTGAAATTGTTAATGTGATCTGTGTTTGATTTCTTGATCATTTTTGATATTGACATTCACTATTTATTTTTTAGTTTCATTTGAGATTATTAAATTATCCATTCACTCTATTAATTGCTTTCTAACAATTCCAGCTGAGCCTTTAATTTATGATGTTCTAGTAAAAGAAAATCTCATGGAGAGAATAACATACTACTCAGACACAATACAGCAGCAGAAGTACAAGTAAAATAACTTGCTGGATAAAATTGATGATTTGAAATGTAGTATCTTCAGTCTGAATTAAATTGGAGCTATTAGAGATGGTGGGTTTATATTTTGCATGAATCATGATACTGTTGGAAGTCTTAGAGGAGCTCTTGTGTTTGCCTCTAACGGTAGGCAAATTTATTTCCAGTGTTATGCTGAATTATAGCTAAAGAACTTCCAGTTGCTCTTCATTGTAAATGTTATATATATTTCATACAGCAAGCATGCCAGGTTTTGTAGTATGAAGCAGTTGCCTCCTGCTGCACACTGGCAGTTAAAACAAAAACACTGCCCGTTCAGGAGGTGATTTCCTGATCACATGCTGCTGACAGAGTTCATTTCCTGCCCAGTTCTTTCACCAATATTGCAAAAACATTATTACCAAATGTGTTGTGCAGTAAGGAGCAGGAATAGCAGAAAGGTTGCACCCTAGTGAAAAATACCTAAATTATCATATTTTTATTAAACAAGCTTAAGACAAATTGACCTTTAAGTTCATCTAACATACTAGTAACAGACTAGAATTATGGGGCTAGCAACAAGAGCAGAGAGGAACAAAGATGACTTCTGTGACTTTGTTATCCATCTGTGTAGATTTTAAATACATTCCGCATTTGTGCATCCCTATTAATTGCTGTAAAATAAATTGCTTTTAAAGAAGTTAATAGTTCATAGAACTGTACTCTGGCTCTGAGAATGGATATACTATATCAATTTTTCAGCTGTTCAAAATTAATCTGAAATACTGAGTTGTGGCAAGGTTTTAATTTGAATTTACAAAACCCAGTCCATTTACAAGAGTAGAATGGGACTTCCTTTAATTTTATACCAAACTTTAAAGTATAGTTTCTGTGGGAACTAAAACTGCAGTTATAGATAATAAGTGAAATTCACAATTGTAAGATGAAGTATTTAAAAAAAAAAAAAAAAGCATTAGCTACTGAAAAAGCTTAAATGCTTCAAAGCCTCAGCATTTTAACATTCCCCACACCTAGTTACATTTCCTTTCTCATTTTCTGCTAACGGGGTTCATGTTGGATTAAATCTAAACCTAAGCATGATAAAGCTTTTCATCTTCTGAACAGAGCATTTTAAAGAAATTCCATCAGATTCAATAAAATTCTGTTAACCGGTATTTCCTTAGTTGTCACTCATACTTTATTTCTTTTGACATGGTCTTCCTCAACCTTGAATCACTGGATGTTAAAATTAATTTTTTATTTATTAGAAGCAAGTAAAAAAATTAGAGGCAAATAAAAATGACAAGAAGACATTTTAATATGTCAGTCCTACAAAATAATGTTGCCTATGTTGTTACTGCTTGGCATTCCTAAGCTAATAAATTTTATTGTATATGTGTCGGTGTTGATTTTGAAGTCTCTTTGCTTACATGTTATTTTCAATTTATGAATGTGTTGCATTTCCTAAGAAATTATATTTTTAAATGTTTTTTTAATCCTAATTTTATGTTCCCCAAAATAGATAGCAAAATATTTGTATATAAATCTTCTGTGTTTGCACATATATTTTTGTCTGGAGACATTCCCAGAAACTTCCTGCAAGACTTAAATTATTATTTTCTATTTAAATACCCATTTTTGTTCAATTAGGTTGAGTTTGAAGATGGTTCTGAAATAGCAGTCAAGAGAGAAGAGATCTATACACTAGATGAAGAGCTTCCTAAGAGAGTAAAAGCACGTTTTGTGAGTATTTGGTGATGATAACTTCATAGTATATATATGCTCAAATGCCAATAATACTATCCTTAGACTTATTCTGCAGTTGTGGTTTAAATTAGACAGATGTTTTGTGAAGCCTGTACTAATATGCCTGGCTAAATCAGCGCAACAATTAAGTGTCCATTTGCTAGTGAGTATTGTTAGTTTTTCTTCTAGTACAGGCAAATCCTGTTATCAAACATAATTCTTTTCTCCTAAAAGGGACATCTTGGTTGATCACCTGTCAGATCATAAATTATCAAGTTAGTAAATATTTAAATTGACAGACATTGTGTTCTTTCAGTATGCTTACAACATGTGTATACTTTTTTAAACCCTTCCAAATTCTGAGAGATTTATGATTTTAAAAACATTGAATTTAATAAAAATTCAATTAACTTGTTCTAAGAAAAAAGTGCTTGATCTCTAATCATATCTTGATCTCTAATCACTCTTGATCTAGAACTCACTAATGTCACTGGCAGGACTCAGCAGCATTTCACTGGTCTTTGATTTAAAACCAAATCTTTGCTATATTTTTTAAGTTTCTATCAGTTTCAAACAACATTCACCAGCTAGTCATTTATATGTATGCCATGTGGAAAAGTGTTGAGGTTCATAAAGAGTATAACACAATTTGAAAAGAGAAAGTTCTGACATACAGTTCTTGGAGGAGGCAAGACAACTGCTGTTACTTTTGTCATTAATGCTAAATATTGTTCAATTCAGTCCATTACCAAGTCTACTCAGAAAGCACCATGTTGTTCTTCTCATGTCCATGTTCTGTTTTAGAGCTGTTTGTTCAAAACTGCATTGTAAATTAAACATTATCCTTTTTAACATGTAAAACCAAAGCATAAAGATACAAAAATCTTGTCATAATTGAGAAAAAAAAATAATTCACTATTGTGAATAAAAAAATTCCCTCTTATTTGAAGAATCCTTTTAGTGAAGCTTTGAAAGGGAGAGCATTGTACAGTATATTTTTCATTGCTGTAGCGGGGTGGGCTCATACACAATACCTGTTCACACATCCATTATGTGACATTAATTAGCTGATTCTTGAAATCAGGGTTCAAGGAGTTTAGGGGAATGATGTTTAGAGTTGATTCTTGAGGCATACGTCAGCTTATATGAGTCTGGTGGACTAACGTAGCATTTACATGGCAAGGTAGCTGAAGAAGGTTTAAGTCCAGCTTTCATTTTCTGTGCTTCTTGCAATGCAATGCCGTCGTTGTTATTATAATTTCCTTTCATCCAGTTCTCATCATCAAACCCTGACACAGATGCTGTATATTTCAGAAACTAGTAGTGTGTCAAAGGAAGGGATTGACACCATGTATAAAAGGGGTAGTAAAGCTGCGAAAGGGAGACAGAGAAATGTGAAGCTATCAGCCTGCTTGGGGAGTGTTCACCAGCAGGATGATGCCCTGTTTTACTGAACGAGTAGAGTAAGATTAGGACAGGTTTTTCTCATGGGAGCTGCAGTGGTCAAATATTCTTAGCTAAGACACTTTTTTTTCAATGTATTTGGGATAAGTTCACACATCTTTCAGTGTCTTGACCATCTAGGGTTAAGATAGATGTCTTGGAAAATGTTAAATGAACCATCTGGTTATATTCAATGTGTTTTTTCATTATACTCGGAAAGCATTCAATTACCATTTTTTGTTTTAGAGACTATGTGTAAAAAGCATTTATAATTAACTGCATGTTCTGTAGAATGTAACTGGTTGCATTTCACTAAGGATAGCAATAGAAATGTAGTTGGATTTGTGGTACTCTTTTTAAAATGTAGTTTTTATAGATCAATATTTATTTTTTTGTGTTTGTCACCATTAACTTTATTGGGGAGTTAAGTATAGGTTAAAAGCATTGGATTTGGTCAACTAAATAAAACAAACCACAGCCTCTGCTTGGACTGCATGATTTTCTACTATTGCCTCAGATTTTTTAAATATGTAGCTTAGTCCTCAACATGTGACCAACACTTCCTTCCCCTCCTTATGCTGAAGACAGTGCAAGTTAAAAACAGTTTATGACATTGTTTCCATCTCTTGAAAGAAATTACACCAATTTCTCCTAAATGATGTTTTTCCTAATCTTACGAATTTCATCATGACTCCCATAGTGGAATTTGGTCCAAAATTTTCTGCCACTGCTTTTTCCCAAATGGCTTGCTGTTTTCTATCCCACGGCTTTGTTTCAGTTGATTCCCATCTGTTTTAAGTTTGCTGACAAACAACTGAACTTGTGACTCTGATTCTTTGCACATTAGGTCATGTGCAGCTTTCTTTTCAGAGGTCCATGACATAGTACCTTGCATTTAATACTTTTCTGAATAACACAGTGTGGTGGATAATACTCGATACTGCTAGGATCAAACCTGCCCAACAATTACATCACTTCTATGTTCCTGTTTTCTACCTAGAATTAGAATGATTTTTTGACCTCTGGATAAAATCAAAACTAACAACTGATGTTAGTAGCATGTTTCTAAGGAACACCACAGACCTAGAAAATTAAATGAGTGCTACATGCAAAATATGGAAAAGTAAAAACTATATTTTAGATTTATATTTAATATTTAGACATCTCCTGAAAACAGTTGTAACTGCATAATCAATAATATAGCTAGCTTCATATAATCTAGTGAAATATATCTGTGTTTCCATGTAACTTGTCTAAAATATGTCAGAATATGCCTATATGAAGTTTTATATGTAATTAATGTCTGGTTTTAGTCTACAGCCTCTGACATGAGATTTGAAAACACATTTAATGGAGAAGAAGTTACCTTGGGAGAGAAGAGGCAGAAAATATTGAATTCCCGCTTTGGGAATGAGTATGTGAATGATTCAGGATGCCGTGTCTTCTTTGAAAGATCATTCCGGAAGAAATGCCAGAAAGAGCTATAAAGAAAGCAAAATAGAGAGAGGGATGTTGGTTAAAAAGCATGCAACATTATTTGCAATTGGTTTCGGTTTAATTGAACACTCAGTTTTACAGTGTGTGAATTTATAACCAGCCTTGTAAACTGAAGTACTAGAGTTCTGGTTTCTTCAGTTAACGTATTAAAGATTTTGTAATATTTTGTATTATGAAACTAAGGGGGATATCAAATAAGAGTAAGAGAGATTACACAGTCATATGCTGAAGAAAACTTTCAGTCCTGCTTGTATACTAAAAAAAGTTGTAAAATTCCCTTTGAATTATGAGAAAAGATTCACATTTAGAAGAGGAGACATTTTAGTAAAGAGAGGTAATTTCAGTGGATCATTTTGTTATGCAGACAGGAAGGGATGTCAAGTCCAATAACAGCAGTTTTATAAAGCATTTTTAAAACAAATACAAACATGTGCAGTATTAAGACAAACAAAGGCTGTACTTGTTTTGTACAGTGCTTTTACATTTTTATGTCACTACTGCTCTCAGTAGGGATTGATGTGGACTCAACTGTTAGCTTAGAAATTTTAGACTTTTAAGAAAGATACCTTCAGGGCATCGAGGCTGTTTTGTATATTTAAAGGGGCAGATTTTGGCAGTTATTTTTAATACTGGTGTTTTCACAAGGTCTGTTAAAAATAAGTGTTTTTTAAATATAGTTTTCTTCCATTATGAGCACAGAAAGTTAGAGTTTAAATACATAAGTTTAAGAGCCTAGTTTTAAATGAATATATTATGGTCTTCCTTTTAAAATAATATTCTATCAATGTAATAATGTTTAAAAATAAATAAAGACAGTAGTTTTACTTGCATCATTTTGTCTGTTGATGTGATTTGTAATCCTATTATTTTATACTTACAGGAATCAGAAAATTCGCTATAGGTAGTATGCATGTAGTTTCCTGAACACAACAGAATATACACACAGACACTCACATGGCTTGGTGTTAAAATGCAAACTTGATAAATACTGTGTTTCCATTTCTTGTCTTTCTGCTTCACTTTAGTCTTTGTATCTTGACCTTTTTGGATATTCCACAGAAAGCAGAAAGTCTGAATTTGTCTGAACACTTGGGTATGTGAAACCAGAAGAGACCTTTATCAAAATGACATCATCTGTTTCTTGTAAATTGGACCATCAGCAGGATTTCTGACTGTCTGCCACAGGAGAAAGAGCCCTCTCAAAATCCAATTTCAATCTGAGTACTGCTGTTTCTAGGGTTCTACTTGCAAAAAAAAAGTGAATAAATGGACCCAAATCATTTTTCATGACAAACCCAGTCCTTTATATGCTGAGGCATACAGATTTTTGTTTCACTGTTGCCCTTGCATGATTATTCTTATTTTTTTGAGTGAGCAGTGAAATCTTTTCATTTACTGTGTGACACCTCAATTGACAATTTAATTTTTCTATGTTACATTAGCTATATTTTGTTGTACCATGAAATCACTTAGAATCCCTTTAGTCTAAGAAATTGCTTAGCTGTGACAATTTGAATGTATTTATAATTGACACTTTCTCTAGAGGTAGTGAGTTGTGGTGGGTTAGTGTCTCACATATTTCAGAATATCAGAGCTCTTTTTGGTATTGTAAAGGAAGAATAAAAACTAATGATACTTTTGCAAAATGCAAGATTGCTGCTGCCTTCTAGAGTTAAATGCAGCTGATAACCTAATTATACGTTCAGCTCTGGGGCTCCTAACATAAGAAGAATGTGGAGCTTTTGGAGCAAGTGCAGAGGGAGGGCCATGAAGATGATCAGGGGGCTGGGACCCTTATGAGGACAGGCTGAGAGAGATGGGGTTGTTCTGCCTAGAGAAGAAAAGTCTCCAGGGAGAGCTTATAGCCATACTTAGTGAGGGTTACAGGAAAGGTGGGCAGGGACTCTTTATCAGGGACTGTAGGGATTGGGTGAGGGGTAGCAGTTTTAAACTGAGAGTAAATTTAGATTAGATATTAAGAAGAAATTCTTTCCTGTGAGGGTGGTGAGGCACAGGCACGGGGTGCCCAGAGCAGCTGTGGCTGCCCCCTCCCTGGGAGGGTTCAAGTCCAGGTTGGACGGGGCTTTGAGCAACCTGGTCTAGTGGAAGGTGTCCCTGCCCATGGCAGGGGGGTTGAAACTAGACAATCTTTAAGGTCCCTCCCAACTCAAACCATTCTGTGATTCTGTGATTCTTGATGCTTTGTTTCAAAATACTTTTCTAGGATAAAAGGACTCTTATGGTCCACCATGAAGGTTCAAAACAAATTTAAATAGATGATATGGTGCAGTACTACAGAAGCTAGAAATCACATTTATGTCCTTTGCCTGGATCCAATATGACTTGTTGTGACACCATGAATAAACTGTCTCATCTCATGGATCCAGCATCCTTCTCTTCAAGTTTCTTGAAATTTGCTGATTAAATTGATGCAGTTTTTTTAAAACATTCATGCAAAAAACATCAGTTGACTTGTTTCCCCTTCTAACTTTCAGCAAAAAAGTCTTTACTTCGGAGGGTCTGTAAGGCTTTGAAGTTATTTCTGACATTTGTAAGGTATTATAAAATACCAGCTATGTATATGAAAAGCATAGTCATTGTCATGATTGTGGTTCACACCTCCTGTCTCAAGACCTAATGACCCTCACAAACTGTATTGTCGAATCAACTGACCTATAAGGAGCTTTTCTGTTCCTTTACAAGTCCTGAAAAGCCACATTTTTTGATTGCACGTCAGGTATTGATATGGACATTTCAGGTATGTGAGAGAGCAGATTCACGTGCAGTGGTTGGTGTGCCATGCTCTGGGAAACCAGGATCTTGCCACTGTCTGGATTGGATAGCTGGACACCAAACAGGGATGTTTGCTGTCCATGTAACCAATTCTCAATAGCCAGGTTCTTGCTCCAGTAAAACCTTTATGTGTTATTTTTGTCCCGATATTGGGGCCGAATATGTCATTTCTGATGAAAAAAGCATGTCTCTATTCATGACGATTTCACTTACAGTGTCTGTGTGAGGAAGTGTGAAGTATTACCTTTAAAGATAGGCTAACTGAATCAGTTTTGGTTTTCCTAAGATTAAAAAAATAAAATAATAAGTTGAACATTTGTAACAAGAGAGCGCTGCGTACCTCAGGACAGGAGGAACCACACACTTTCAATTATTTTATACATACAAGAGGAAAGTAAATACTCTGTGTATTCAAAAATCCTGAAGGCTATGGGTGTGCTTGTGAGTGAACACACACAAAGTAGTGGTTTGACCAGCATATTCACACTCATCTAAAAAATATCAGGGAAGAGTCTCAAGTACTTGAGTTTATGCCGACTTGTGAAGTAGAATACTTTAGCACTACAACTATGATTTCCAGAGCTATAGCTAAGGTCTGATAAAGTAAAATTAGTAGAATTAGATAAAAAATTGATTACTTCTTTTGAATCCTATTTGCTCTTGTATTGCTGTAGCAAAGCCATTTTGTTGATGCTTAATAGAAGCTCTACACTATATTGTGTTGTGCTACAGTGCTTAAAAATTTTCAATTAAAAAGAGTAATAGATAAATTTCTACAAAATATTTTTGATTTGAAGCTTGTTCATACTTTCCAAATGTGATGTAAGTGAACAGCAATTTTTTGTAACAGAGAAGTCAATGTTACCCTGAAACTTACAAGCAAAATATAGCAGGATAAAAGCTGCCCCTGTTTTTGCAGTTCCACCATTTCTGATTTTGTGAGATGTTTTCCAGTGTAGAAGACATAATAGGAAAATTACTGATAAGCTGCATACTGCTTGAATGATTGTCTGACTAAGTAACAAATAGTTGTATTTGCTACCTGTTCTGCTTGATTTAACCATCGCTATTTAGTGGCACAATCACAACTGTTAACTTTGATAATAGATGAAGGCAAAATAATAATTTCACTTGCTGTGATGAAATGCTGCTTTTTCTTCAGTCTCTAAATTTTGTAGTGGTATTTCTGTTTCTTGTTAATGAACTGAAGTATTTCATGCCAGTGTCCAATAGCATATTATCTGAAGAGAAAGCTTATGTATGGTGAGTAAGAGGAATATTTCCCTCACATATGCACAAAGGGCATATCCAACTTTTTAAAAAGTTGCAGAACCATCTGATATATTTATCACACCTTTGAACTTCAGAAGCCATCTCTGAGTCTTCTAGTCTTGAATTCCAAATGCCTTAGATAGCATTTTTCTCTGACACATCTAGCAAAAAGAAAATGTGTGATAGCATGTTAGGGCATCAAGGTTTTACTAGAGTTCATCTGAGCTGTTGTATATACTGTCTACTTGGTTATGGCTTCAATGTTACTATCAGGCTGAATTGTCCTGCAGCCATGCTGCTGAAATGTTATTCTCAATACTTTAATGTATTTCCTCTATAACTAGATTTGTAGGGAGAGCTGGTAGCTGCTAAAACTTTCTTCTCTAAGAGCTTGTTCAGAGTTACTAAAAACTGTCAATTTAGATATCTTACAGCTGAAATTTTATGTGTCAATTTGTAACTGAAAAAAGTCAGGGAACTCTACTTCAAGCAGTTTGGTAATTTGGAAAGATTTTGAGGAGTAGGATTAAAGAAAAAAAAAAATCTTTATTCTTTCTTCCCTGAAATTTCCCAGCCATTTATTTGAGAACCTCTGTAGTTCCTTTATAGAGTAGAATAGGGACTTGCTGGTGCATGGGGGAAAGGCAATTCCCATTAGGTACTAGAAATAGTTTTGCTAATATTTCTATAGATGTTCTGCCATTTGACTGAGGTATCATAAACTGTCTGGTCTGTGGATTGGGCTCTGAGATAACGTCTTGAAAGAGCCTGTACCACTTGCGGTGCTTGTCCCACGCCAGTGCTCTTCTGTGGTGGTGGAGGGGACTGTGCATGCATTGCCACCTCAGACAGCTCAGCACTGACCTTGCCAGGCTTGCAAAATGGGAGGGCCTTTTCTCAATCACTCTAGTTACTGAAATGGAGGACAGAGGCAGATGCTCCTTTGCTCTCAATGCCTTGCTAATGTTGCTGCAGTAGTATAGAAAAACAGGGGAAAAAAAAAATCTGACTTCTGTACAAAGGTGCAAAGAGTTGAAGGCATATAGGGCAAATTCATAGAGCTGAAAGGGGGAGAAATACAGGGACCCGATTCTGAAAAAGAGATTTGTTCACAGTCTTCTGCAGAACCCAGGATGACTGGGGCTCAAATTTCTTCCGGTATAAACAAATGACTGTGAAATGTACCAGCAAATTACTGCCTGGTTGCCTTTAGGAACAGCTATTCCTGATGCCAATTACTGCATGTACTCAAGTAGCAGTAATCTTTGTTCTCCCAAGGATCTGGTCCTGCTGTACAGATTGAAAATCAGTTACATGTGATGAGTTTTTAATTTTTTTGTTTTTTTTTTTTTTTCCCTTTTTTTTTTTTTTTTAAGCTTGGTCACTAGAAAAAACAGTATGTGTGTGTGTGTGCATTTAAATTATTATGATAGAGTTAAGGATACAACACGAAGTATACAGCCATTGCCAGAATTTTCCCAGAAAAAACAATGCTTGAAGCTCCCTCAAATGTTCCTTACAGATCTAGTCACTAGAGGAACTGTGGAAAAGAATCACCATCATGACTCTCTGGGATGCACAGGAGTTAAAGCAAGGAAGAATAGAGATGAAGTAATGTGTTCCCAAACGGCGTTTTTTGACTCAGTGCTAACAGTTGATGGCAATGTCATGCTGCATGATGAAGGAGAAAAGGCTT